AAAGGACATGAATAAATTAATTAAAAAAGTACAGGGACCGGATATGTAAATCAAGGGACCAAACCTGGACAAAGTATCACAAGTTTACTATTAATTTCTTCCACAACTTTAATATATATATATATAATAATAATAATAATAATAAATATTATATATTTTATTGAAAAAGAAAATATAGAAAAATAGAAAACCCTAACCCCCTCGTTAGTAAACGAGTCGTTACCATCTAACGTATCGCTCCTGTGGCTCTCACCATCTCAGCCTCTAGTCTCAGGCACCACCGTACGCACGACCGTCGATCCGTGAAGACGACCCAAGGAATCGCTAACCTAACGTCCTAACCTGTCTTCTCTAGATTTCGCAACTTACAACCCCTGAATAGACGCAAGGAATCCGACCCACTGTAAGTCCTTCTCACTACTCATTCTCACTTTCTCAGGCTCTCGAATTCTGTCTTGAACCCCTGAATCGGAAATCTGGTTTGAGTGTTTTGTGTTTGCAAATTACAACCTGTGAATCTGTTGAATCTGATTTGTAATGTTATAATCTGATTTAGCTTATGTAAGACTGTAATGTTATAATCTGATTTGTATTCTTTTATTTCCATGGATTGGTTGTGTTGAGAACTCCATTGGGACATGTATTTGACCTAGAACTTATATAGCAGATTAGTAAATACACATGGTTTTCTGTTAATATTTCAATGTTCATTATCTATATAGTATGAAACTTCATCCAGTTTCTCACATTTGATGCTCAACTGAGAGACGCACTCATTCACTGTATGATCTCTCTCTCTCTCTCTCTCTCTCTCTCTCTCTCTCTCTCTCTCGATTTCATTGATGTGATTTCATGAACACTTGGATATAATCTACTTAGTAGAAACGTAATGATTGATCTTTTTTCGAGAAAAAAATGATGAACTTGGAATCCCCCTTTTTCTATACGATGATTTTCTCACACTGTTGGTATTTACTCTGGCTCCTTTCATTCATTTGATTTGGTTTATGTCATCTATGGTATTGGATTTTGATCCGTATGCAGTATTTGTCACACAAAAAGAATGCACACCAACTGTTTGATAATGTTTGTCAAACCATGAGATCCACCCATCCGGTTACACTTTGAAAGTCTAGAAACTTAAGAGTATATGTAACTATTAGTTGCGTAATTTACAATTTTTTCATACTAAACAGGTCTCCTTTTTGTCACACATCTCCTGCTGTGAATCTGTGATTGTGAAATGGTGTCAGAAACTTGTTCATTCACATAACATGCTATAGATATTTTATTTCTTATTTACCTTATATTTCTCATAACAAGGGCTTCACATAATATGATTGTTGTATTTATTATAAGATTGAAAAATTTTGTTGATTGCATGAGGCAAATGCTTGAGTATGTTGTATTATAGTTATGAATTACTGAATGCTGTGTTTTTTTTGTGGAATAGAGATAGGAAAGATGAGCTTAAGAAGCATGTTGGCTGAAGCAGCCATTAGAGGAGTAAATGAAGCAAGGGCAAAGATATTTGGTCATGTACTTAACACAACTGGTCAAAGATCTGCTCATAAAATTTTAAGAAAGAAATTCATTGGTGAAAAAGTTGCTTCATGGTATCCAAATGACATCCAGAAAGAAGACCCCATGGTTGTCGCACGCAAAGAACAAGAGTAATATTTCTCTCTCTCTCTCACACACACACACTTCAATAACAATAAATATTTATATAATTTAATTTTGTGAGAAGTGAGAATGTTTGTTTGTTTGATGCAGGCGATTATCAAAACTTGAGATGTTGAAGCGTCGAGGAAAGGGACCCCCAAAGAAGGGACAAGGAAAGCGTGCTGCTAAACGTAGTAAATAGAAAGAAAATGAAATGAAATGGAATTAGATTTTATTGCAAATGCAAATTTATTTTCAGGGATTTCAATCATCATTAGAAATGAATGTTGAAATGTTTAAGCCTTTTTGAACTTTCATTGGCTTTAATAAGTTGTATGTTGTTTTTGGCTTGTTTGTTAAAAGGGATTTTGTCAGGTTAATTATATGTAATTTCATATTTTTGATAAATAGGTCCCAGAAATTCTTTTGCATCATCAACTCCATTATTTACATCTCACCATTTACACAATGTAAACTTACATGTTTTTTGTTGTAAGTTTATTTGCAATCCAGATGCCAAATAAAACCAAAGAAGTCAAATATCTCCACTTATCAAAAAAAAACTCATCAAATCGATATTACATTGTCTTGATTCAAAACCCATTAAATCCAATATTTCAGTAAAAGTATTATATCTCATCCAAATAAGCAACCCAACTTTCTCTGAGGGTTTATGCATCAGCAATGTAACCCACAAACCTTTTGTTGAAAAAATAATATTATCTATAACTAATTTTGTTTGAATTTATGATAATAATATATTTCATAATGTAAAAACATAATAATAATAATAAACCAGCAGGATCGTTAATACTTACATATTTTTTTTTTAATAAAACGAATAAAGGTTATAACTTAAATCACTAATAAGAAAAACGGAGATTTTTATCAATAAATTAACATAAGGCAGGAAATACTCGTTTTTATGTTTATTTTTTTTTTATCATATATGTATACGATTCTTTATTTGTCATTCTAAAAAAAATATATCTATTTTGGCTTTATTTTATTCATAGAAAAATAAACACACTAACTTCATAAAATTTTCTTTTCAAATAAGCACCAATATTGACATGATTGTATAAATTTTCTGGATGTGTAAACATATATCCCGCGTATCTCATTGGTTATTTTTTATTGTGCATGTTGCAATAACTTTCAAAGTGGTATTTTATTATATTGTTTGAAATTAACCCATTTTTTATAAGTGTGATATTAACAAAATATATCAAATAGAAAAAAAACAATAACATAATAAAAATATATTATAGTTTATTTGTTTATTTATATATTTTGTCCTTTTTATGATAAGCAAAAGATATCAACTTTAAATCAAGCATTTGTAGATTGCCAAATCAATAGCACAGTCTGCAAAAGTAGTTACGAGGATGTGTACGAGGTTTTAAAGGGCAATTTCTATACGTATCATCCTCCATGTGAGTGTAATAGTGTTTGTATACCCCTGATGTCATTATTTATACGAGTGAATGGGGTATTTATAGAACTACTTTTTTAAAGTCTCGACAAAAACGTCTAGATTTATTGAATGGTGCGACTGAATTCTGTTATGCATTTAATTTTCATTTCCATTAATAAAACTAAAATAATCAATCTTCAACAACAAAGCAACATTTATGTAATAACATATTTATTTATTAATTAATTCATGTACTAACACTTTATTGATTTATTCTATATTCCTAAAAATAAATATGACATGTTTTATGCAGATATATTATTTTATTATATAAATTAACAAAAAATTTTAGGGAAAATACCAGCAATAGTAAAAAAATAAGGGGTATTTTCAAAATTTAGACATGAAAATGGACATTTCCAGGTATAGACATGCATTCCGCGGAGGTAGCTCCGCGGAATGACAAAATCGTAAATAATCAGTGTATTTAAAAAAAAAAAACTCAAGATTCATTCCGCGGAGCTCCGCGGAGGTAGCTCCGATGAATGGATCTTCAAAATTTTTTTTTTTCACATTCCCAACTAATTATTTTCAAGAAAAGATTATGATAATATGCTAATCATTTCTTGAAAATAATTAGTTGGAGAATGAATATAAACCCCGAAGAATCGATGGGAAAAAAAAATTCTAAAGATCCATTCCTCGGAGCTACCTCCGCGGAGCTCCGCGGAATGGATCTTGAGGTTTTTTTTTTTTTTTTTAAATACACTGATTTATTTACGATTTTGCCATTCCGCGGAATCCATGTCTATACTGGAAATCCAATTTTTTGTGTCAAATATTTTGAAAATACTTTTTTTT